CCTTCCCCCCCCCCAGACCCGAACGTCGCGCATTCTTTTGCCGCGGTCGACATTTCACCGTACACCGTACACGGTCGACGCGCGCGGGGTGCGTTGTCGCGTACGAATATCCCGAAAATACACTCGTAACAGTGTATTTTATCGTTCGCGTCAGATTATTTTTTTATTTATTTATTTTTTTTTTCGAATAGAATTTCGCAAAACTAATCGTTTCGGTTGTTCGCGCGAGTGTGTGTGCGTGTACGGTATACGTGCTCGTATACACCGCCGGGTACTACGACGCACGTATTATTATACGCGCGTGTGCTAACCGGCCGGCAACTGATAAATCGTTTCTCCGGGACCTACCGGATTGTAAATCGTTTATGCGGCTGTGACACCGTGTTTCGGTGTGAAATCCCACGAAGAGTATTTCTTCTTCTTATTATTATTATTTTTTTTCATTTTTTTTTTTTTCCTTATGTTTAACGCATATACGCGAGCGCATGTTATGTATTATGCGCACATACGACGATAATGCCGCCGGCCATACAGCAATATATATTATACACGTATAATAATAACAACACGTACGCAGGTACGGTTTATTAGAGGAATTTCACTATACGGTATAATGTAACGATATTACGTGCGCGGGTACGCGTGTGATACGCGCGCGGACACGCTGGATATCATGCGCCCGGGTCGTCGCTCGTGTCGCACCGATGCGCGTACGCGATATAATATTATATTATATACGCGCGCGCGTCGAAAATGGGAAACGAAAACGAAATATAGTTTATTTAAGATGCCGTGTACGCGTTGCCCACATAATTTGTTTAAAACGCGTTATCTGGTCCCGGCGATCTCCGAGTTCCCGAAAACCAGTCGTCCGCGGACGGGGGAAAAAAAAAAACAAAAAAAAAAACACACAAACAAGAAGAAAACATCGAACGTCGTCGTCGTCGTACACAACAACAACAACAACGACAACAATAATAATAATGATAATAATAATATTATTATAACATAACTTTATGCGCGCGGACGTCTATAGATCATTATCGACGCTAATCTAGACGGACGGCACACGTACATTTGTTATAATACAATACCGCGTGTGTAGACACGCGGCGACGGCGACTCGAAATCGTTACCCTTTGAGCGCGCGTTCCGCGCGTACCGACCGTGTGCGGGGCAATACCGTCAAGCCCGGATTGAGACGTGTGTCGGGTGGGGGGGGAGGAGGGGGTTAGGGAGGGCCGAGGCCCCCGCGGGCCGCCCGACCCCCGGGGACTCGGCGTCATTGCCGGTCATTTTGTACTTTTTATATTTCAATCGGTTTTCCGTCGCCCGGCTACGACTCTTGTACGTATCGCTATACAGTATAGCGACTACTACCCCGCATTAACGTACAGACTCGTAATGAACCTTTGAGAAATGCTGATTTCCGAACGTTGATCATTGAATACGCGTTGGATTTCGATCTAAGGATAATCGTTTTAGTCTAAAATAAAGCTTCCGTAAAGGCGAAATGAACCGGAAAACTAAGTTGAATTCAATATTTATCTCTCAACATTTAATAGGCTTGGAGTTGTAAACCTTTAATTTATATTATTTGTATGTTAAGACAGTATTTATACATGTATTGTCGGTATTATATGTTTATTCTATTACTACAACGAAGCATTTAGGGAGACGTAAAGAGGGGAAGGTGTTAACATTCCTAAAATTAACTGTAACCCCTAATTCAAAACACTTCAAGTAAACCTGTAATACATAACTCTCACACACTTGGGTCAGCTAAAAAAAAATATCTTATTATTCCAACCTTTCAAATTCAACTCAACTTCAACGTTTATAGAAGTCTTAACATTAGAAAATGCTATGTGGATATATTATAGCCACTTTGCCAAAAAATAATGCGTTTATTTATTTAAATAAATAATAAATAATATATTTATTGATAAATTATATTTGTTATTATTTCTCTTTTCCACCATTACTCGTTTGACGTTTACACCAAAACCTTGTACCTTCCTCTTTTCTATCAAAACCATAATATTTAGCTCACTATTGATTCAATAAATGTTTGGCGATTGTTCATGCAACCCGCCATAGGTATATTATATTGTAATATATAATATACAGGTTAAAAAATGTTAAATTTTATTTAAAAAAAAAAAAATGATATATGGTGTAGTATATCTTATAGTATTTATGTAATACGTATATTGTTTAATGTAGGAAATATTTTATTTTATTAAACAAATTAACTTTCGATAGGTTAGGTAAGTTTAAGTTAATCTAACATAGCTATGTATATAATGCCGGCAGTACACATTCGCCGAGTAAGTCTCGGCAAGACTTTAGGTGAGGCGGGTGGTGATTGCACGCAGTACACTCTCGACTTACTTATAGGCACTCTAATTTTCATGTTCAGTACTTTCAGTTTTTGACTTTTGAACAAACATGGACGCTGTCAAGGTTGCCGCTGCTATAGCACATTGTGCATTTATGTATTATAATAACGTAAACATATTTGCAAAAAAAAAAACAATAAGGAGACTAGGCAAAAAAGAAGATAGTGTATGAAAAATATTTCCAGTGAAATTATATTAAAAATTGTTCCTGAAGTCTGTACGGAATGAAGTTTTAAAGGAACATATTGTAAAAAACAAATTGTTTAACTTTCAAATGTTTTTTTGGTTTTAAACCAAATGCGCTTTTAACTTTTTTTTATAATAGGTATTTATAAATACTTAAAAAATAAATAATGTTTAACTTTTATTTATATAGGTACTTTCAAGTTTCAATGAAATAATTTGATAATTAATTGTTGTTTACTGGTTGTTTTCATCAATCATTGAAAAAGCTCCATTTTAATGTTTTCTTCATTAGGGCGATGATTATAATTTTCAGATTTTATATGTGTTTTTTGTTTATCGTTAAGTATATTTTTATTCAAATGCGATTGATCGAAATTTGATGAATTAGTCGGACATATCGATTCGGAATATGCTGACAAGTTAGAGGGGGGTCTGCTTTGATATGTAGGTGTAGAATAGGTTGTAAATGGTGGATCAAATTTTTCAGTAGATGAGGTAATTGAATGAGTAGAGAAAGAGTTTATTTTACGTAGTTTATTGATGTATATACCTTCGATCTCATACGTAAATACATTTCGTTCATGTTCCGGCAGTTTCCTTATTTTTTTTGCCAACATTTTACTAAATAGATCATATTCGTCACCATCTTCATTGTCCCTAATTCTTTTGATAATTACATTCTTTAACATGTTAAATGCTTTCTTCATTTGGTTTGCTGCCTCTTGAACCTCAAGAGGAGTATAGCGACGTCGAACCGTTGGATTTGGTTGTGAAGACGTTTGGTTTGGTTTTTCAGAAACTATTATATTCGTATTTTCTGTTATATTCGCTCTATCATATACAGAGTTGATTTTTACACTTTGACTTTTTTCGTCAATTATAAAAGACTAAACAAAAACAAATTATAATTTTTTTTTTTTTTTTTACAGGCGCCGTTTACAAAAAAGGAATATTTAAATGTAGACAAATTATTTAGTGGAAACTTTCCCCTCAGCGTTGTCCATTTATCCATAGAAGACAGTGATTACTAATTTATTTTTGCTAACAACGGGAGCTAAGGAAGGATTAGTGATGATAGCGTATTACGGAATAGTATATTATAGCAAAGAATTTTAGAAAACAATTTCAATTTGCCAACGCCATGCCATTTGCCTGGATCAAATGAGCCCTTGCCTATTGTTTTTTTTTTATGTGGCTGTGCTTTTGCGTTGAAACACGCACGTAGAAACAGATGGTTCGGCTGCTCTCGCAGTGTACCGGTGAATGTGTATACTGCCAGCATAATATGTAGATAGTTGACACTACAAAACTGACCCGATAAAAAATTTAAAGTTGGTTTAGTAATAATATTTTGTTTTCACGGTTACTCTCAATGATTTTAGCAATCGCAAAATTATTGATTTTAAAAATTATAATGCACAAATAACGGTTTATTTAATCACATACTGTTGTAATGTACAATTTAAACTGTGAAACCCTTTTCACTTGTTCATAAGATTTGATATAATATTATAATTGATAATAGATAATCGACATAAAAGATAAGTACGATAACTATTTAGCGATATACAATAAAATACGATATTATTTTGTATTTTATTAAAAATACGGGTAGAAGCCCAAAGTTATAATAATACATAGATAATAGTGATGTAAGTTGAAAATTTCCAAAAACTCGGTTTTTTTCTTTTACATTCATTTTGATTTAATGAAAAGGCAAAACTATAAGTACCATACCAAATCACGAGACATAGATTTCTCACTTCTCATCAGTTATCACTAATCAGTGACAACTGAAAACTCTGAATGACACAAATATGTGTTTACCGTTAGGATCATGGATTTTCTGAATTTCAGATTTCTGAAATTTCTCAAAAATAAATAATACAAGGTAAAATAAGTGTAATAAATTGATAAAACAATAATAATAGTATAGTATCGAAGCCGTTAACGGAAAACAATTTCAGGGGAAGAAGTTTAAACTAAAAATGTGTAGTGTTCTAATATTTTTATGATATTTTATAGGTTATTTGACGAAGTATAATATAAAACAATACATATTGGGCGAGGTCCCCGTTATCACCCCCCCCCCCGGTGATACATTAAAATAAAAATATTAATTCAAATTTCACACATGAATGACATTCTTAATGATGCCCGGAGGTTATTTAAAATACGAATAATTTTTAGAAATTCCCATCAATTCCTCAGTTTTCGTACCTTCGCTTTTAATTTGTCGTGTATTTTTCGAAAAACCCGTACTGCGTGGGACGTCCGTGGGCAAGATACTTTACTTCAAAACGAATGTATTTAGATACTATTTGTATGCTACGCATATAGGTACGTTGATAGGAGCAGTATCGGCAACACGAGATATACGATACTTTCCAGTTTCCACTTTCCGGAACCGTATCGCGCGATACACGAATTATACTACACTGCGGTGTTGTATATTGCCGCGGATTCCGAAATTTCGAATAAAATTTCATTTTAAGTGCCTGCCCAGCGTTAGTGCACACTTAAACTTGTTACAGTTTTGAACGGTGGCGTTCTAGTCCGATTTTTGTTTTGACGAGTTAAACGAACAACAGTTGCGCTTTTATACTCGTTCCGAACATTATTCAATTGTACCCGTCTGTATGTCTCATCGTCCCATTACTCTTAAAATTGACGAACTTTACTGTTCACAGAAATCAATCTTTAAATCGGTTTCACTTTGAATTCCAACGATTACGCCGATCGCCCGCCGCGTGACGTGTGGAGGACGAGCAGTGCAAAACCGACCGGTCGCAACAGTGTTCGCGGACGACCGGACGGATTTTCTATGCGCTTTGTGCACTGCGCGTACGGAACGCTAAACGGACGTTGTTTTTTTTGGTAAAACTTCGGTTTTTCTATGCGCGCGGACGAGTCCCCCGCACACTCGCGGCGGACTGCGAAATGACGTGTGCGCGAACGTCCGACCCGGCGGCGGCCGGGCACGGTTCCCGCCGTCACACGACGGGTTTGCGGCGGACGCGCCGTCGGCTAAACCGATTATCCGCCGTGCCCTCGTTACCACAATGTATTATTACGGACGGCGATCGTTTTATTCGTCCGCGTTATTGGCCATTCCGTCGATTCGGCCGCCGTCGCGCGGGTCGCGTACGCAATCGGCCGGGGTCAGCCTCCGGAACGATTTCGCGCCGGCGCGCGGTCTCGGACCCCGCGGCACCGCGTACATTACGCGCGTTTCGCACGTTATTATAATAATACGTTTTGTCGACGGACAGCGACGGAGGACGCGGTAAGTCCGACAACGGGTCCGACAATTCGACGCGTTCGCGTTAATGATTCGCGCGCGCGCGCGCGGCCGCGGCGCGGCTGTTGCGACGTTACCGTACCGCTGGGCCGCGAATTATAACGTACTTCGGTTCGGCGCGGAGACGCGCGGCCGACCGCCGTTCGTCGGGGCCGCGGCGTTACCGGCACGGGCGTACGGGCGTTTTCCGTGCACGGCGCGCCCGCGTATCCGCCGCGAGTCATGCCCGCGCCGTTCGGGCGACGCGCGCGACACCCCCGGGTCCACGATGTCGACCGCGTACCCGCGCAATAACGGCCGTTGCGATGTCGGCCGTACGCGATAATAATTTTTGTTAATAATTTTCGGTTGTCGCGGCCGTGTGCTGTCATCAAGCCCGCGTAGCGTACCCGTGTGCAACGCTCGTCGTACTCGTAACACGCGAAATATTACAACGACGTTAATGCGCCGAATAACGCGTGGCGTTACAGTGTGCATACGTACTTACCCGCGCGTTATTATCGTAACCCGTGTGAGAGGCTACCATCGCCGATACCGAAAAAAAAAACAACTAATAATAATAATAAAAAATAAATAAATAACGCGCGCGCGCGCGCGTAATATAAATAATGTTTTTTTTTTTTTTTATTTAATAAACCCCCCGGAGGAAACTAGTTTCTACCCCCCTCCCCCTCACCGTCGTCGTCCTTTCCCGTCATTTACTTCTAATATTTTTCTTTCTTTTTTTTTTTTTTCTCCTCTCGACTCGTTAATCTATTAAATTTTATTGTGCCCACACTTATTATGACAGACACGACGACTATACGGTATTTTATTACATTTAAATAATGTGATAAAAAGCTGTATATTACCTATATAGGTGTACATACCTATCGGCCGTATATAATTATAATAGCGATCATTGTTGATTTATTTTAATGACCGGGTAGGTGCGTTTTGCCGCGGGTCGTCCGTTTCGGTTTTGTATGTTACGTTTTTTTTTCTCCCCTCCACCTCCCGCCGGTCGCGTTTTATTCTCTTCCGATGTGTGTGTGTGTGTGTGTGTGTGTGTGTGTTTTTTTTTATTTAATACCATTACCTACGACCCGTTAGGACAATCAGTTCGCGGACACAAATTATTATTATTATTACTTCGACACCTACCATTAGGTAGGTGTCGAAGTATTAATATTATTATATCGTAGCGCGTATTTATAACAGAGGTCCCGATTGAAAACCGTGTAACCGGAGTCCGGGTCCGCGCGAATGAAAAATAATAATAATGTTGGAACACGCGAATTTACATTTCGCGTTCACGTGTTTTGGTGTCATTCACGCGTGTCACGTTCACAGTGAAAATACGCGTATACATGAATAATTACACGTGTACACGGTTTTACGGACTCGAATGATAGTTTCGCGTGAACAAATGAAAGCGCATACACGTGACACAAAAAGCCCGTGTAGTGTATTACAATATGATTTACGAGATCTAAGCGCGCACAATATTATAGTGTAGAACATTTGTTATGCGCGCCTCTGCCCAGTGTATTTTAGATTCTGAGTGGAGCGAAGAAGTTTATGGTTTTACAAAGATGTATATATTTTTTTTAAAACAGTGCGTAACTTTTCCACCAGAAGTCTTGCTTTTCGATTTTCTCAGGAGGTTTCCCATCAAATGTGAAAAACCGAAAAAAAAAAAAACAAAAGAAAATCGTACGAAATTTATTACAATGATAAAAATAAAAAAATAAAAACAAAATTACGCACTTTGTTCCGATTTACAACGGTATCACTTTTCGCTAAAAGGAAGTCTGACAGAGAGGTACTTTAAGCAGGCCATTATTTTGAATTTTCCAAGATTTTTCACAACAAATTTGAAAAACCGGGAAAAAACATGGGAAAACTTGGAAAATCGGTGTATTAAACAAATATTATTAAAGAAAATAAATACTGTCTATTTAATTATTTTACCATAATATGACATATGTTGACAATACATCACTATCAACTGAACTCAGCTCAGAATCGTTTTTTCGTTAACATATAGGTTTATAATAAATTATTTATTATAGTGGCTGCACTCGTCCCTATTATCCTAGGATAGCTTTTCATTTCTACTATTGCCGTCACCGGAACAACTATTATGGTACCCTCATAACAGTGACATATTCAAGATCTTGGCCAACTGTCACCCGTGTATAAGGTATTATACAAATATTATAAGGAAAACTGCTAAAAAATGTTTATAAATTGCATATAACTAAAATATCGTAAAAAAGCCAACGTAGTAATGCAGGTAATGTTTCAAAAACATGATATAAACGTTATAGTCGCCCTTGTCACATTACAATTTTAATTCTACGATTCTAAGCGGAGTTCGGTTGATAGAGTTGCTTCGTCAATAATATTTATATGTCTTAATATGGTAAAATAATCATATATGCGTAATATATTTTCTTTAATAATAATTGTATAATACTGTACCTATTTTCCCATTTATTTATAGGGAAAATTACAAAATGACCTCCTTAGGTCTGACCGACCTCCCCAGTCAGATTTCCTCTCAGAAAAAGTGCTACTGTTGTAAATCGGAGTAAAATTTATGGTTGGTAGAAAAGTTGTCCACAAAAAAAAAACAAATATCATTATAAAACCAATATATTTCCTGTGCCGCTCAGAAAATAACTGTAGTAACCGAAAACAGTGTACGTATAGTTTTTAATTTTATGCTGATTCCGGTAACACGTTCTGGTTGCTGAAAAATGCATTTGCAATTATCAAACAATTATAGTAGTAAACAATACCATCGCCAAAACCGTTTGTTCGCTAAAATATAGTGATCGGGTTGCATCACGAAAACACGCCTAATGATAATGCCAATATTGACTGTGACGACAACGAAGCGACGAGAGTAGAGGAGCAGTTGAACGCGGAGGGGCCGGTGTGGAAGATATATCCCCCATGACCTTTTTCGATTGATTTCTGACTTTTGGGACAGGAGAGAAACTAACGACGAAGCCTTAGACGAACTCCTGTTCTTTATAGGATGTTTAACCGTTAGAAGAACTATCGAAGAACAAAAAGCCGCAAGAGACAACTGTTCTTCGCCTTCATCAGTAAGGAATCAAGGTTTTTCATCAAATTTAATTACAAAAAAAAAAGAAACTACTACACTACGCTCAACTTGTATTATTTTATCACCAAGTACAATTTATAACGAACTTCGCGGTAATTATCAAGCATTTCTGTTGGATAAAATAATTTTATTCACACAGTATCTGTTTACCTTTACATCTAAATCGACAAGTATATAATATAGCATGGATATTCCATTTAAATAAAAATAAATTCTCAACAGTAACGAACTGGCTTCGAAACTAAGCACAAACTCGAGACCAGTAACCTTTATAACATAATATACATCGGTGAAATATAAAGATGTCATGGAATTTTAAAAACTGCTGCCACTCGTGGTAAAACCTATACACAAATTTGTGTTTGGCGTCATCTTAACTCGGTGGCACGACCACCGATTTTTGAACAGATCTAAATGTCTACATTGATTAAAAAAAAAAAAAAAAAAAAACATAGATTTTAACACATTCACATTACTTAAACACGAATGTACGGAGGTATCCAGACACCCAAAACATCCCCCTGGTTGCGCCACTGTCCAAATCGACCGGTCGGACGTGTCGCGCACGGTATTACGCGTTGACCTAACCTGTCAATTTGGGCGTAGCCCGTTTCGCCCGAAAATGACCGTCACCGTTTCGCTCAGATACCCGTTTCGTCCAAATTTTGTTGTTATAAGATTCTCGTTTTGCCCAGACTAGTTGAGATCGGTTTAAAATTAAGATGGCAATTGTTATGCTAGATAAATTATATAATATTTGAACATCATATTTCAGCGTTACCCGGAGTTCACCACGATTAGGCGATACTCTTTTTTCTCTAAATTTTTTTTTGAAACTCTAAACTCAGTTCACGTTAAAAAGTTTAAAATATCGTTTTCCATAAACTTCATAATATGTACTTTTAGTCTAAAATCAAAATTAAGCTAGTTTTACTTGTTCTGCGTAAGCATTGTTTTTACACGTTTCCCATGGTGGTAGTATTACCGAGAAAGTAGACGCGGGTATAACGTCCTCTTAAAGAACGAATGAAACGACACACGAGCATTCGCCGTAAGAAGTATACTCGCTGGAGTGCATGCCCGCAGACCACAATAGTAAACGCGCTATGCTCAGAAATATAACCGTTTATTGAAGAATCTCGATACTTAATAACTTCATCGTCAGTTAGGCATTTCGACATCAGATCTCCAACAAAACAATCCGACACTGTATGGGATTCTAAACATAATAACCCAAAAGTGTATTTAATCCATTTACCAATGTGTGTATTTTTTTTTTCATATTCCGTAGGTAGGCCATACTTCTGGACATTAATAAATTCGTAAGCTATCACTTTCCTTGGCGTTCGCTAAATGATGTTAGAATATTATTGACGATAGTGTACAATATTCGACTGTAACATTTCCAACTTAATTTTTAGATCGATCTAAACTAATCTGGGCGAAACGGGACTCGCCCGTCTATTTCGGCGAGTTGGCTAATAATCCGCATGTCTCTAAATTCATCTACAAATGTAGCAGATTGTTCACAGCGAATTGATTTAGTAATTAAGGAACAGCGTTTTTTTTTTTTTTTTCATTAATACGCCTGAACGTGTCGGTTTAATACTCGTTAACCGCGGTAATTATCTTATCTCAACTATTACCATAAATCATTGGGTTCGTCATTCACGTTTAAGTAAAATAAGTGTTAATTTTTCAAAACAAAATCAGCGCGTGATTTACATCTAAAGTATGCGCATATTCGTACGCTTCGACGCGTGTTCCAACTTCTGAAAGATCGAAATAGGCACGCGAAAAACACACGATGAACGACGACGGAGATGAATGTTAATAGCGAGTTAAATTAATTAACGTTTATCGAATTATTATACCGATATCGCGGTGACTTTTGGCGCGAGCCGATCCGTCCGATTTGTTCAGTGGACCGGCCGAAAAAATAGCGGATCGCCGATCAGGGAATCCGGTTGACTAGGTGCCTCCCGTCCGGCGGACGTGCTCCGCGCCGAACGTCCGGATCCGGCGGCCGACCGGTCCGATGAATTTCGGGAACAATTACGGAATGGTTACGATTGCAGCTCACCGACGTGCGCGCGACGGCGGCGAGGACCGCGGCGGCCGACGCGAGAAAAGGCGTCCGTCGGCTTTTATAAATATACGCCGCAACGACCGCGGACCGGCGGTGGGTATTTCGTTTTTCGTTCCGCCGCCCACGACCCGCGCCTCCGCCAAGTCCTCGGAGCAAAGAGTCAACGTTTTCGGTGTACGCGTATATATATATATATACGTACACGTACACGTACACGTTCTACATTATGCGTATACAGTTTCGAATTACAAAAAAAAACCGTCCCCCGGGCCGTATAATGACGGGTGAAACCCGCGTGCGGTCGCGCGCAACAGAGTAACGAAATCAATTACCGCCCCGCGTCCGACCCTCCGCGGGACGCCGCGACGACGTTCGCCGCCCCGTCGTCCCGCCGCAGCCGCCGCCCGCGCCCCGACCGATCGGCGGGACGAACGCCCTAGCCGCCGTCCCCGGAGCGTAATAACAATAATAATAATAATAAAAAATATGTTTTTCGCCGCCGCGACTGCGCCCCCCCCCTCCCCGCCGCCACCGTCGTATCCGCCGAGCGCCGTTGCCACGTATCAGGAGGCCTTATTCCTGCGGGCAGCACGACCCGAAGTCGGGCGGTAGGAAATATCAAAAAGCGCAGTTGGCTTCGTGAACGTGGGCACTTTACAAAAAAAAACACAATTTCCCTTATCGTCCGGCGATACGAATTCCTATACTCGGTATTGCGTAATTAATACAAACCTACACCGTACCTAAAGCTGGTTACACACCACGCGATTCGTACGTCGCGTTTTTCCGGAGCTGATTCGTTATTTCATCGCTGTACGTTGTTTTTTTTCAATTTTATTTTCTTCGTAAGATTTGTTTTTTTTTTTTTTTTTTTTCGAGGGGCGGAGGTAAGTATTTAAGTCCGCGCGAACATACAAAAAAACTTTTCGGCGTATTTCGGGCGGTAGATAAAAATCCTTAGAATAAGCCCTGCCCCGTATCAGGTGCCTATACACAATGTCTAGCCGGTAAAACTATTCTTGACTACTATATATATGTATATATAAGGTCGAAAATCAACTTATCTATGAGTTATCTACGTCCGACCCTTGCATATATGGTTGCGAAACGTGGTCGGCGATAAAAGGAGACGAAGAGAAATTGATAATTTTCGAAAGGGAAGTACTCAGTCGAATCTACGGTCCAATTACTGAAAATGGAAAATACCGAAAATGAACTAACGAGTAAATCTACTTTAATAAAACACTTCAAAACCAAGTGTGAAAGCAAATTAATAGAATGGGCAGGGCACTTGCGGAGAGATAATGGTACCTGTCCACAAGTTCTGATCAAGTCAAATCAACGGTAAAAGACCCAAAAGGCCGTCCTAGGCAAAGACGGTTGGACATACAGAAAGCAGATCTGGTAAGGGTGGCACTAAGAACGGAGCTAGAAGTGAGTGCGAATAGGGAGAGGTGGCGGGCAATAGTGGAAGCAAAGAAGGCCCTATATGGGCTGTAAAAGATAAAAAAAAAAAAAAACCGATGAAAAAAATAAATATAATAGAAAAACGAATGTATTTAAATATTATCGTTATAGTATACTCAATACTCAATGGTACTGTATTATCTATACATGAGAAATAACACGTCCCGACTGATTGATTCATTATCGCCTCGCCCAAACCACTGGACGGATCTGGCCGTAATTTGGCACACCGGATAGCTATTATGACGTGAGAATCCGCTCAGAAAGGATTTTTGAAAATTCAACTCCTAACGGGATTTCATCCGAATATCTAATATTGCTCATTTATTTATTTTTGTTTATTCAAGGGTTACCTCGGTGTTACGGATAACAATTTGATGGCCACGGAAAAAAAAAAAAAACTATTATAATTATTATTATTATTACTATTATTTACACTATGAAAATTTCACAACAGAACACAAATAGTCCGCCGAAGGTGGACTACCCACTTTCTATCATTTAATCAATTCCGAAACGAATATGGGTAAAATAATAAAAATATGCACGGGCAACGCCGGGCGCGGGGCAGCTAGTATCTCTATAAATAATAAGTAATATGTCTAGTTTATTTATTTTGATATTTTTGTTTGTGTACTACGTGAATTTGAGAGGTGAATCGTGCACAGTGGGTATATTATGCGAGCATGCACCGCGGTATATCGCGCTTTTCCTCGATGTGTCACGTTTCCACACGTTATTCACATTGGCTCGGTCAAGGGGTTGGAGCTAAGAGGGATATACCCCTCTTCCCACGTGGATCACGTTTGTGTACGTGTATACAATTTTACGGTCTTATAGGTTTACCGTACACGTTTCCAAACTACTGAAATCACAGCCAAGGGCACGGGCCGAACCTCATGCCGGTTTCGTCTCTGAATAGTTTCTCTGACTTCACGGGGTGTCTCCCGTTGTTCCGTGTTTTCCTAATGCGACCGGCCTTCCCGTGGCGGTGGATGTCAGTAACTTCGGCGGATCGCCACCGTTGTGAAGCTGACGGGACGAGATTTCTGGCTGGCTGCTGAGTGCCCACGCGTGTCTGGGTTTGGCTGCAGGGTCGAACTGGTCCTAATTGATTAGGCGAACCTCCAACGATACCCTTAGCAAGGGTTGACGGTGATTCCGGAATTCTCGGAAACGTCGGGTTTTCAAAGCCATATGATACAGTACTGAAGGAGATTCCGGAACCGACCCCCGGCATCGGAAACTTTTCCATAGCGCAACAGTCACGCGCAAATGCCGAAAAAAAAAACCGAGTCGGGTTGTCCGGCGTGCAGGGCGTGCATTGTTCATCACCGACACGGATGTACGTCGAAAGCCAAACGCGTGGTCTAGGTTTGTGACGACAAGCGATTCGGCGAGTAGGTGAGCGGCGTCCGGGCGGGGTCAGTTAAGTGTCGAGGCGAGCACAGCGCGTGACCAGCGAGGATCGGACGATGATGGCGGCTTTTCTTCGCAAAGGGCGGATATTGTTTTCCCGGGCTTAACGGCCTATATGTTACGGGCAAAAGCCGAAATCGGGCGAATGTCGAAACGCACCCGGGCATAACGCGAAGTGCCAAGTACGACTCTTGGGCAAAACGTCATATTTCGGCTTTTGCTCGGACAAACCTAGCTTTGGCCAACCTCTTTAGGGTAAATCTGTGACGTCCGTAAATTTATTCTACACGTATATAAATAAATGAATACACTTTATAAATCTCGCAATAAAAGTAGGTACGGTTTTGCGGCCCAAATGTTTATTTTACGTGGCCACTGCACGTCAAATACCCGATATTTCCGCGCAAAGGCCGATTTATTGCTAAGGAGAGCGACTGTTGTAATATTGTCATAACGGTATCTATACTTACTGTGAAAAATTGAAATTCACGTTACGGATTCGCCCGAAAGAGGTTGGTCATTACCAGCTGGTTTGTTCGGGCAAAAGCCGAAATATGACGTTTTGCCCGAGCATTTCTGACGTTTGCCCGTAACATAATGTAAACATATATTACAACATTTTTTTTTTTGTTTTTTTCCAAATCCCGCGTAGTAAAAATCGAAAAACCCGTATAATACTTACACTCGAAATATCTCCCGGCCACGTTTGCGTTAGTCCGCGCGAAAAACGGCCGACACGACGACCCCCGTACTCTATGGCCAGTATCGCAGTAAAAGGAAAGAAAAAAAAAAAAAAAACGTCACTGTGAGCGGTCGCGATACACGCGCTCGCGGTCCGTCCATTAAAACCCGCCGCGGCCGCCCGTTACTTCACTCGGATCGTACCTGAGAGGAGACGGAGACCGCCGCCGCGTTCGGCACGTGTCGTCCCCGCGCATCACGATAATTATAATCCGGCGCTCGGACGCGTGTCTCGGGCCGCCGTCGCCGCCGCCCGTCCGTCCGGAGACACCGGTCTTTATAATGCGCTGTTATCGCCGCCGATACGATACTACACCCGTCGTGTGTACCGCTAATGCGGTATCGTGCGCGGTGTACACAACACGTGCGCCGCGGGTATTGTTATTCGCACGCCCGAACCGCGAACTCTTGACGGACGCGAGGACGTTAATTCGGGACCGTAAAGTACATTGTGCTGTAACACGATCTCGCAGCGAGTGTCCCGTCCGAACAAATCGCTCGTCTCGCGGCGATTTCTGCACGGGAAATCGTAAAACGCGCCGTTGCTTGTTAAAACGTCTATCGACAATTCTACAGGGGTAGTTGAAAATTGAAAGAGCCGCGCACTCTATAAAAAAAAAAAAAAGAAATAATACATTTGAAAGAGTGCTTTGATGCGAATTTAAAATGAAAAATTTTGAGAGGAACTCCGTGAAACAGTCTTAAATGCGTGTATTTTATTCCTTTCACTATTGCTGGTCCAATTGATTTAACAAGTTCATCAAAGCCTCTTATGCTCATTCGGTAATAGTCGACGAATTTTTTCGGGAAATTTAGTAATTTTGAACGTACCGCAGGTGTAAAACTTGCCCAATATTCTCGGTTCCTCGGCTTCTTAATTTCTCTCCTCCGTCGTATGAAAGCAATGATTTTTTTTTTATAGTACCGTCTAAATATTTTATCCATACATTTTATAATGCAATTGTATTCGCATAGAATTAGAATACAATATTTTGCCTTATTGTATTTACGTATACACGTCATTATTGTTTTAGTCAGTGAAAATGTGCTGTAAACAACTTTTTTTTCTACCTAATGGGTATTTGATATCCAAGTTCTGAATGCGATTCTTGAGTATTTTAGGGGATGACGCGTGTTGCGAAATAATATACAAATACAAACGCTGCTAGAATAAGCAGTGACGCAATAAGTTATTTTGAATGACGTCAGGACTGACATTTTTTTTGTATAGTCCACCCGCTCGTACGAGTGCATTAAATATTTCACCGACCTTTAGTACGGAAGTTGTCAAAACGGACATTTGTATCCGAATTGGTTCCTGTGCTCATACCTCACATACCGAATTGGTTACCATTTGAAAAGGGTACTTTATGAAGGTGAGCCGAATTGGTTTTGTTTAATTCTTACATTTATACAACAAACACAATAAATGTAGACATAATATAGTACATTTTTAATTTTTTATTTAACTTTTAACATACTACGGCGGGTGTATTACAGTTATCAAGGTAATAAAATAATGTTACGTCGGCGTATTGCCAAAATACCGTAATCGATTAAGATAACGTCAGTCCATCTGGATACACACACATATATATATGTATATATGGCTATATTTACCGAATATAAAAAACAGAAAATATGTTTCTAGTATAAAATCTAAACTAACAAAGCTCAAATTCAAAAATTATAATTTTTTTCGTAGGTGAATTGAAGAGTTAATAAAATATCGGTTGAATTTAGATAGTATGAACTTCATGAAACATCAGGTTGTTGAGAGGAAAGGGTCTTTTTAACTTAGTATTGACCCCCCTCCTCCCCATATGAAGCCAAAGAAAAAACAATTTTGTGTTGGTTTAAGTATCAACGATGTGCCTTTTGGCGATTTTAACTTTCAAGAACCACCTCCCTCCAAACCATTTTTATACTCAGATTTTATGTTTTCACAGAAATGTCGGGTTTTAAATACCCTTATAAACTATCATGAAAGTAAGTGACTAAAGTAAAATGTGTATATGTTACAATGAATGATGTTATAAACCAAAAAAACGTTATTTTCTAGAAAATGACGACGTTAGTTACCTAACAAACCAGTTTACATCGTTATTTATTATTTGTTTGGTTTGATTATCGATAATTTCTACACACGGTGGAAAATGTCACTATCGTAACGGCGACAGATAGTATTACAGCTGCAGAACTAATAATAAGCTTAGTGGGGTTTACTAGCGTAGGGCTTTCTGATGTGTTTACATTTGAATCGAGTATCGAAAATGGTTTTCTCAAACACAAGTACACGTGATCTGAACTTGTGCCATGCAAAGCAATTTCGTTGGATCCCAAAACTCTTCTTGAGTCATCGGGACAAAAAGAGATTATATTTAGAGAAGCTGAAGGGCTGTAAAGTCTTATGGACACGCAAGGCTATCAAAGATGTCACTGTAAGACGAAGTGTGAAACGAATAAATGTACCTGTCGTGTAGTTGGGGAATTATGCAATTCTAAAAGCCACATTCCTTTATCGTATGAAAATAAATAATTACCATGTACGAATATAAATATTATCTCTTTTTTTTTTTTTTATTTATTTACTAACAAATATAAAACAGTTAACATAAAATTCTATTTGAGTTATAATTAATATCAACTAATATTGTTTAGAATTAACGTGAATTCCTAGTAAATAACGTTAAAAACCGTACAAATCATTCATTATTATCCATTAGCGTTAATTACTAGATAATAACGTTAACATAATTTACTGTAACACATATAAGAACAGAATCGATGTCGAGGTCTTAGAAAGGTTTGAGCTTCCAACCACCGATCCCACCGTCTGTTTGTATGTTGGTAAACATTTCGAGAAGTACTGTTATATACCTATTTTGAAATTACCTTTTTTTGTTCAATTCCTGACCATAAGTTATAACAAAAAACAACATAATATTTTATAACGAAAACAAGTTGTCCTGGAGAAAATTCTATTCTAGTTGCGAAGTTCTGGTGCTTATGTGTGTTATTATTTTTTTTTTTTAATTTTTAATTTAATAAGAAAAAATCGTAAAGATCACATCGAGAATAGCATACGTTAAGAAATCTGTAATAAGTTGCCTGTCAATATGTTGTCTCGTGTAGGTGAGAGGTTCGCGAGTCGACGGTGATTTACTATATTATTACTGTTCATTTCCTATAACTTTCGAACCGTGGCGTGCCCGAATTTCTCGACGGGAGGGGGTATAGCAAATAAGAACCGCGAATAAATCGTAAAATCGTTTTCTCTACCCAACTCGACTATGATGGGAATTGGTTAGATTTAAAAACCGGATCATGAAAAAAGTAAACGTCAATTTCCAATCAATACATCGAGCTTTTCCTCGGTCGAACTAAATTCATTTAGATATTTGATCAGATTTTTTTTGAATTTTCAATCCAATAAAAGGGAGATATAACCCCCATCCTCCTCGCCCTTCCTGCGCACGCCACTGCTCACGAACGCGGTGGGTACCGATATGTAACTATATATAATGATAATTATAATATAATATGATACTACCGTTTTCACTCGATAATTTATTCGATGTTCGCTACGTATAGGTGTAATATTTTTACGAAAATATGTACATTATAAAAAGTGTTTGTTAAAAAAAAAAACGGTAATATATAACGTGTAGGCATAGTATGTAGTCGGTATAATATTAACATTATTATTATTATTATACACCTATTATGGATGCCGCTGCAACAGAAAAATAACGTATTAGAGTTCGTATAATATAGGCGTATACCGCGCGTGTGTATATAATGTTTAAAACTCCAAACGATTCTTATTCTACGCGCGCAGTACGAATCCCCGAATTATTCCTCAATAAATATTTTATTGAATAAACTATATTATCTGGATGTTTTTTTTCTTGCGTACCTATACATAAATAAATATAAATTTTTTAAAAAAAAAACCATTATTACTATTAACGTAGGTAGGCGGGTAAAAAAAAAAAAAGACTACGCCTCTGATACTCGTTAGTGTATATACCAACTATCCATACGAAAATAATAATAAGAAGAAAAAAGGCGATAAACTACAGAACAAACAGTTACCGCGTAGGTATATAGCGGAATAATAGTAATAATAATAAAAATGGACAATTATGGATAATAATAATATAAATAACGCACGCGATACTACCTATACAGGTATAATGTTGTACATGGAAGAAAAAATACAATTACCCGCGGGTTTTGATTTGTTGACCGGCGCGAGTGATTTATTCGTGTTTGTACTAACACGCGCGACTACCTATATAATACTATCGTATTATAACCGTTGGGAGGTCTCCGCGATATAATTTTTTATTATTATTATTATTATTTTTTTTTTTTTTATTCAATTCTCTGCTTGTTCCGTTGTCAAACCTAACCACCTATAACTACGGCACTACCGGACCCATTATCGCGTTGATTTATGCGCCAAAAAATTATCGCCCCGTTTAGATTTTCCGGGGTGTGCCTAATATTACATACACCGGCCATACGTGATATATTACGATCGTTTTTAACGCCGGTATTATCGTACAAATAACAATAAGTTTCGACCGAGGATGAGGTGATGCTCCCCATGGGGAGGGGAGGGGTCGGAAAAAAACCTGATAATTATTGTACATTACGACGATAATCGTAAATAAAACCGCGCGTAAATATTAACACAAACGTATTTAATACTATTATACGAGTATTACCAATATATCATAATATTGTACGCTATTGTTGTCCCGTCGAATATTGAAAACGCCTATTTTTTTTTTTTTTTTTTAATACTCATAAGTGAAGTTTTTTAATTTTTCGGGAAAAGGGGTGGTTGAAATATTGGGGTGGGTCACAGGATATAGGCATTTAATATACTTTATCGGGCGGTGTCGTCTTCAAGACGCTCGAAATCGTATTTCAAAACCTACGGTCGCCATTCGTACACCGTTCGTTATTACCTCGTGCCAAAATATCGTACATCATTTATACAACATCAATACATTGAATAATAAAACGATTTTTAAAAAAAAAAAAAAAAAAAAACGAAAAGCGTAAAATTCACATATATCATTTATTTGATTTAATAATGTATTTTCCTATTTACGACAATTGAAAAAAAAAAAACGAACGGCGAAACAGTTTTTCAATTACAATTATAATTTTTAAAAATTGAACTTAAAAAAAGCGGTGCAACTTCGCACGTGGATGAGCCACTGTTGCAGATGAGAAATCGGGAAGGTGTATGAGAGGAAAAATTGAATGTACATCTATAAGCAACGATTAACCATTGCTAACGGAAGAACGATTCTGAGCGGAGTTCAGTTGACAGTGTTGCTTTGTTAACAATATACATGTCATGTTATGGTAAAATAACATTGAATAGGCATTATATATTTTCTTTAATAATATTTGTTTAATATCGTACTTGTTATCACGTTTTTCCTACGTTTTTTCCGGTTTTTTCCATTTATTGGGAAAACTCCTGGGAAAATCAAAAACCGACCTCTTTAGAGTACCTCTAGATTTCTTTTAAGAAAAAGTGCTGTCATTGTAAATCGGAGACAAAATTGCTGGTAGAAAAATTGTCCATAGAAATTAAAAATAAACATCTTTGTAAAACCATACGCTTTTTCGTTTCACATTGAATATAAAATCATTAGAAGTAGGCAGTATGTAATGCTCTATAATTTTCACAAAATGAAACCTATTTCATTTTTCCAATTTTTTTTTAGATGTACCTGTTTGGTTGTGAATGGTTGATACTATAGTCAGTCGGTCAGTTGCGTATCCAGGATTTATCAGTCTAGTGGATTATAGGTGCATATAGGGTTTAGGTGTCTACAACTTGTTCAATCTTATCCATAGCCAAAATTAATAAAGAAATTAAAAAGGGGAGGTTAAGAGTCCACGCCCCTCCTGGCTTGTGGCTACGCTACCGATACCACAGAACACGTTTTTAATTTTTAGGTACGTTTCTGTCAAGATATCTATTATCTAAATATACGAACAAAATAAATGATAATTATCCTACTACATTCGTAGTTTGCCAAAAATACCGTACAATTGTGGTTTTTACTTATCATGAAATTACTCGGGTCCATTATGGTCGTTTTTGATAAAATCGATGTCGCTGCTGTTCACATTCTGTTCTAGTAGAAATGAATTATCTTCTTGAAAATGTATAGTTTTCATGACGTATACAATCGTTGATCGTTGAATCGTTGAATCCCAATACATCATTATATCTGATGCGATTGCGACGTATTTTATACTGATCCGGTTTCCCAAAACTGTACGTTAAACCATCCAATTAACGTTGTAATGTCACACGGTAACAATCTTGTTGATCATAATCTATATTAAGCAAATTATTACCCTTATTATTTGTATAAACTTGTATTTCATAGTTCGTGTCTGTGTACGCGTGTATGAGATACGGTTATTGTATCCAGTTATTCTTGAACACAGTGAACTATTGTCAAGCTCAATAATGTAAAATTGTTGCTTGTTCACAATTATCACTGTTATATATGTACTTGAAATTGGACGATTCGTCCGTAAATAAATAAATAAACTCACTTAACATATCAAAAACTATTTCGAGTAATGATTATGGTATGAGACATAAACCAAAGTAATATTTAATCTATTTTCCGAGTCCAGTAATTATTTTGCTTTATAATCGTATCATAGAGACGGATATGCTATTCTCGTAATATAATGTACCTGGGTAATGTTTCAATAAATGTCCACGCGTTATATTTTATCCCTGTTCAAAAAGTGATATGAAAATATTCACTCGTTCAATTTACTATCAACCGTGTAAAATTTATAATTTTGGAATTGAGATTAAGCTTCAATTAGATTCATTTTATCTATAAGTATTGCAACGAAAATGAATCAACTGTGAGTTATTTGTGTCCGCGCATAATTCGAAATGAACGTTTGTTTTTTTTAAACGACCGTGATTTATTATCCAACGGACAAGCGTCTATTAAAATTAAAAACCGAACAATTTTGCGGTGGTGAATCGAATGAAATTCTTAAAAACAGTAGTAAACGGAAGATTCGAACGAAAGAATGGTAGAAATACCTCATTACAAATGCAAAACAATTTTTATCCGTATATAGCCATTTCATATTATATCAACATGGATAAAATACGATGGATAAAATATCCATGGTAGATAATATATTGAACGAGTACCAATATTTGATAACATTCTCGTGATAATCTATACGAGTATTATGGAATTTTTTATTATTATTATTATTATTATTAATATTTGTTTTGAGAAAAAGCTTTGTGCAAATATTATTCAAATACAAACAAGTATTGTTGTCTGGGCCGTAACCGTGTAAATAGGTGCAGCAGTACGGTAACTCGTTCATTTATATGCGTACACATATTATCAACGCCCGTCATAGAATAGCGGCCGTAAATTAATGAATTATAATA